TATATATATATATATATGTGTTGTGGTGTCGTGTGTGTGTGTGTGTGTGGTCGTGTGTATGTGTGTATGTGTGTATGTGTGTAGTTGTGCTATTGTGTGTGTGTTGTATCTGTGTTGTGTGAGTGCGTTGTGTGTGTGTTGTGTGTGTGTGAATACTGTGTGATGTGTGGTGTGTGTGTGTGTGCGTGTGTGTGTGTTGCTGTGTGTGTGTGTTGTAGGTTTGTATGTGTGTTTGTGTGCTTGTGCTGTGCGTGCCGTGCTGTGCGTGCGTGCGTGGCGTGTGTGTCATAAGACGCCAAGTGTTGTGTGTGTGGTGTGTGTGTGTGTGTGTGTGTGTGTGTGTGTGTGTGTGTGGCGTTGTGTGTGATGCGTTAACGTTGCGTGTCGTGTGTGTGTAATGTGACGCTGTGTGTGTGTGTGCCACTGTGTGTGCTGTGTGTGTGTGTGTGTGTGTGTGTGTGGTGTGTGTGTGGCGCGCGCGCTCTGTGTTTGTGTGGTTCTTCTGTGTGTGTGTATGTAGTGTGCTTGTGTGTGTCTGTTATGGTGTGTGTTGCGTGTGTGTGTGTGTGGGCGTGCGTGTAGTTTGGTCCTGTGCGTGTGTGTGTGTGAATGTGTGTCTGTGCGTGTTGTGTGCTGTGGATATGGTGTGCGTGCGTGTGTTGTTCAACTGTGTCCGGGGTTGTTTTTGCGTGTGTGGATGTGTGTGTGTGTGTGTGTGTGCGTGTCGGTGCGTGTGTTGTGTGTGTGTGTGGTGTGTGTGTGTGTGTGTGTGCTATGCGTGCGTGGCGTGCTTGCGTGCGTGTGTGTGTGTGTGTGCACGTGTGTGTGTGTGTGTCTGCGTGTGTGTGTGTGTTGTGCATGGGGGTTCGTAATAAGAAAGAAAAAACAATACTGCGTCATACAATTTTGATAAAAGCTTTAAAGTGCTATAAAGAGACAGCCGAGAAATCAAACCCAGATTATAAAATTAATTTCCTTTTTCATCAATGTGTGTGTGTATCTATATCTATCAATATCTATCCATCTATCTATCTATCTACCTCTCTACCTCTCTATCTCTCTATCTCTTCATCTATCTATCTATCTATTTATGTTATGTATGTATCTATCTATCTATCTATCTATCTATCTATCTATCTTATCTATCTATCTATCTATCTATATATATATATATATATATATTATATACACATGTGTGTGTGTTTGTGTCTGTATGTATGGATGCATCTCTCTCTCTCTCTCTCTCTCAGCACACCACACACATATGTATATATATATAATATATATATATATATATATATATATATATTATATATATATATATATACATAAATGTGTATATAATCTATATACACATAAACACACCCACGTACAAATAATACTATTAATACGTGTGTGTGGGTGCCTCCGTTTCATGCCAGTCAATCTAATTCTACGACATTTTTTGTGATCCTCATCCGGATTTAAATGAAATATTATCCGGACTACTCTCTTCTAGACTTAAAAAACAAACTCGCGGCTCTCAAGGTAATAAAGGGAGGCGTGAATCAGAGAAAATAATTTCAAGAAGATGGATTACCAGCAGTATGATGTATTTATCTTCATTTTCTTTCCTTTTTATGCTTCCAACCAGCTCATCCTCATCTTCTCTCTCTCTCTCTCTCTCTCTCTAAACAGTCATCATCTTCTCTCTCTTCTGCTCTCCCACGCGTAACAAGTCATCATCTCCTCTCTCTCTCTCCCTCTTCCACGAGTAAACAGTCATCATCTGTCCTCTCTCTCTCTCTCTCTCTCTCCCACGCGTAACAAGTCATCATCTTCCTCTCTCTCTCCCTCTCCCACGAGTAAACAGTCATCATCCTCTCTCTCTCTCTCTCTCTCTCTCTCTCTCTCTCTCTCTCTCTCTCTCTCTCTCTCTCTCTCTCTCTCTCTCTCTCTCTCTCTCTCTCTCTCCCACGCGTAACAAGTCATTATCTTCCTCTCTCTCTCCCTCTCCCTCGCGTCAACAGAGAGTGTGAGTGAGGAGAGCGAGTTACTCTGGGGTCACCAGTGCTCCCCGCGCCTCGCCTGGCTTCACCCTCAACAGGATGCGAGACTGCAGTGTGAAATATTCGGCCCCTCTGGCACCGTCCTCACCTGGTACAAGGACCAGGTAGCTATCAGCCCTGAGGTACGTGGTGGGCGGTGTGTGGGGCGTGAGCGTGGGGGGCGTTTTGAGGTGAAGGGGGTGACACACGGGATTCATGTTTCTCGAATACTGTGTTGTGTTCGTGGTGATGGCGATGATAGTAGTAATAAAATAATTACAACAATAATGAATAATAATGATAAAGATAATAATAATATAATAATAATAAATAATGATAATGACAATAACAATAGTAACAATAATAATAATGATACATAATGATAATGATAATGTTAATAATAATATAATAGTATAATAATAATCAATAATGCTTATACTAATAATGATAATAAAAACATTGATACCGATAAT